GTGCGTGCGAACGTGCGTGCACGTATCCAACGAGAGAACACACCGGCAGGAGAGGATCGCCCGGTCCGAAATCCTCTCCGGTATACGTGTTGTGTATATATATATATATATACGATGGTGGTGGTTCCTCTTGGAGAAAGGAGCAGATGGGCCGGGAGATAGCTCGCGCGAGCGCTCGTTCGGACAGGATGCGGTTGTCATCGGATGCGAAAGAGGGAGAGAGATAGAGGGAGAGGCAGGAGATAGATACCGGGACTAGAGATTGGCTTCGGGGAGTGAGAACACAACGTTGCACCGGGAGACGGACGGAGGGAAGTGGAGAAACGCATTGTCTCGACGGCTCGATGACGATCGCGACACAACGAAGGTACGGTACGTACCACCGCGTCGCGGCGTTACACATTGTTACGTCAGTGAATTGTCGTCATCCCGTCGCCGTCGTCTCTCCTGGTCCCGACGGGGATCCAGCGCTGCTGGATGACAGTCGCAGGCCGTACCGGCGGCGATAATATCTCCGCCACGTCGATTAGTCGCAGCCCGCGGTCAGCGGGCAACGGACAGCTCGAGAGAGAGAGAGAGAGAGAGAGAGAGAGAGAGAGAACGTACATCTTCTCCGGAGAGACATAGAGAGAGCGAGTTCTTCCGGCGCACGCTCTCCTGCCACCCGGTACGTGGTACAGGAACCATGAGGCTTCACGATCGGAGGAAGAGAAAGAGCATTGTCCCTCTCGGTGCGCTGCTATAGCCTCTCTAGGCCCGTCGAGAATCGCGGCTACGTGACAACGAGCGTCTTCGAGATAGCATCGTCATGACGATTACAGACGGGACAGGCAGGCAGGCAGGCAGGCAGGCAGGCAAGCGCGGGTAATACGGACGACGACCAAAGTATCGTTGTAACGTGGAGAATACGTCGAGAAGACTCTTGGCTCGTGCTTGCGAGACGCAAAAACGCGAAGCAGGATGGCTTTCTGGTTCTCCCAACACGTTTTTCAAAGGGAATTCATGACAAATCTGTCATCGCGCGCTCGTGATGTCTAGATAATATTTCATGGGATAGTATTTATACGCAGTGAGTCTTTTTTCTTCAACATAAAGAACTACTTGACAAAGCTTGAAAAAAAAGAAAAACAACTTTCAGTGGCTGGCGTAATTTTTAGTGAATACGGAACTAGACTTTTTAACCTTTACAGATCGAGAAAGCCACTATAGTTGAAGTGGCAAATGTGGAATGCTTTGAAATAAGGATATGCAATAAAATAAATTATAGCAAATCTTCTTACTTAAGGAGAGGAAAAACTGTAAGATTGTTAAATCTGAAGGTTAACGAAACTCGCGGATTTAGAAGCGCGTATTTTCAATTGTGATGAATCACGATTTATCAGCGTATATTTTTATCGTCAAAATAGAAGAAGAAACATTTGTAAAATATACTCCAATGTATAAATCCGAGTATGTAAAACAGAACGATTGAATAAAATGATCTCAGACTCACCAGTGGTGAAGAGGACGATGGCCTTGAGGCAGCTGTACTCTGCGGAGTCGACGTGAAGCGCCTTGAGTTTCTCCACTTGCTCCTGGAAGATCCTGATGTGATCCATGAAGGCGACCACGCGATCCGCTGCCATCGGCGAGGCGTGAAGACCTGCCGCCGCTAGAAGCGGCGCCACGTGGAGGGGCATTGAGCACTGGCTCGCATTCAGGACGAACAGCTCGCTCCATACTAGCCTGAGCAGGGCCACCTGGTCCGTCACTTGAAGATCCGGGAAGAACGGGATGTTCCGGGCCCACTCAACCGCCGAGAAGAGCAGCCGCGCTGCGAGCTCGCAGATATTGTCGATACCCATGATGTTGTTGGGCTGCATGCACTGGCCGTATCTCGAGGTCGGATAGGGCTCCGCCCTCAGCAGCAGGCTTATGTACGACGAGAGGTAAGAGTGTCCGTTTAGGCTGGCACACGCGACCGCGTCCCCGTTCGTCAAGGCGAACTGGCCCGGTAGACCCGGCAGCGAGGGTTGCGACGGCGGCACTCGCCCTCTTTGCACAGCTAAAAGCAGAAACGAACGCGTCGAAACGCTTGATAATGTGAAGACTCGTCTTCACCTAAGATGCTGATCTCGCTTTCACGTTACACGGTACAATCTCTTTGTCATTTCCGCTCGAGATCTGTGCGAGAGATGGAGCAAGACGGCGAATAAGTTAGAATCGACTGATCGAGCTTGCGGAATTCGAACATCTTTCGTAATATTACACGTGAAAAATTAGAAAAATGATTTAGGAAACTACAAAATATATCAACTATGCGACTCTACTTCTTACAATTGTAAATAAGAATTAAATATAAAGAATAAATCAATTGGAAGAAATAATCCTATTTTTTGTATTGAAGCTGATCTTGGTGCTCGATAATATTTATATGCAAATTTTTACAAATACATTTTTCGATTTTATAAACTACACGAGCCAATACGATATGTCAGACTTGAAATGCAGTCACAAATTAAAAACTTAAATATTACATCTCGAGTTAGATTGATCGTCAATTTAATAATGTTAATAAGTATCATATTTGCACAAATTTGCATGTTATTAAACATCAAGATCTTCTCGACCCCTTCTCGACTGAAAATAAAATTTCAAATTTATATGTATAAATACGCGGTGATTTAATTTCAACTTAACTGTTTATCTTTTTCTAATTTTTTCTTAGAATTAAAAAAAGATAAAGAATAAATTGAACTGTGAGATCAGAGTTAAGCTTACATTGGTGGAATCGGGTCTAAATGAATTCATTTCTCTCTACCTCTTTAAAAATGCAAATTGCAAAACTTTTAAAGTAATTTCCATGAATTATTAACACCTGTACATCTCGCTTTAAAGCTAAATGTTAAAAGCCAACGCTTTAAATCGTCCTAGTTTTACGTATGACCTTCGTCTATCCCTTCCTTAAAGTGTCTCGAGGTTTGTAGGAAAATTTCAACGTACGCAGGGAGTCTGATAAGCCTGTTGCGCAATGAGATTTATCTATGCAGTCACGCGTCATCGAGTTCGCGACTCCGGCATAAAAGAGAACCAGGCTCTTTCACTTTTCGGTACGCAATCCTTTGCTTGAAATATTACCTATCTAAACCGTAGTAGCTAGCTCATTTTCAAAGATACATATACCTATTCATAAGTATATCTATATTAATTATCGTATCGATGTTTCGTACGATTAACGTCAGCGCAAGATAAAAAATCTGACGTACGCGATTTAGCGGCGAATACATCGTTAACCTTGATCACGTGTGAAAGATTAACAACAATCATCCTTGAACATCCTAAGCATCAAGGGCACTTTTATTCATTTCTTTTAGTCTGATCAGCGGGCTGAAATAAATCTGACGAACGGATTGCGCCACGCGTGTCTATAACGCGAATTTCTATGTCGCTCAGGGCGATCATCCTCGTCGGACAGGCGTGACGTAACGAACAGAGGTCCTCTTCTCGGACTTCGCTCGTGCCGACCACCGCGTAGCTAACGGTCCGTTTCACCGAGAGACCAGTCGGAGAGCGATTCGTGCCTCGCAGCAGAGATTTAGTTAGGGATACGTAACGCGCTCATTTAACCGCGTACACTACCTCGCTACGTGTGCTAGCCACTTCGAAGAAGTCACCGGCGATACGAATGGTTACGGAGAGAGGTACGACACCTGCACCGGAATCCCGGCGATACTCTCAAGTGCCTGCAAATATTGTGCAAAGGCAAATATACACGCCGCGATATACGTGCCATAACACGGCACGTATTCAAGTACACGCAAATACAATCGCCCGTGAGACGCCGCCGGTGTCGGTGATTCGATCGCAGTCGTACAAATTTCGCCGAAAGCTGTGCGCTCGGCTGTACCGGTTCATCGACCGGTCCATCACCACTATTATCGTCATCATCATCATCATCATCATTATCCCCATCATCATCGTATCATTGAGGTTAATGTCCGCTGCAATTCTAGACATGCTATTCCGACGGATTTACTAGTTATCCCTTTCTTTTTCCTGGAAACACGTGCATTTCTACAGAATTTGTAACTTTGCTGCATTTACGTATTGTGTCTTTTTTTTTTTTCCACACAGGACGGAAGTTCAATATTGCGGTCCGGAGTAATGATTATTACAATCGGTGCGTATGTTTAATAAAAAAAAACGTACAATCTTCTTAAAATACCCGTTCACTTTAAAATTATAGTACGACGTATATTATACATTTATTCAATTAACATATATAAATTTATTATATATAAAAATATTCGTGCACAACACAATCTCTATGTAAAATCTTGACAAAACTGAAACTTAGTTCTGCCCTAGTTTTAAAGCGATTTCGGCTATCGATCGGTGATTTCCTACACGGGCCTCGATCGCGAGCGACGACGATGCTTTTCCACTGTGTGCGGCCACGCGAGATGTCCTGCAAACCGTTATGTCCTTATAAACGTACCTCTGCCGCATTCTCTGGGCGCGATTACCGCGATTATTACCGCGGACCGTGTATTTTTTTCCGCGCGTGGAAACTGCACATATACATATACATGCGAAAGAGGGTAGTAGTGGACGACGACGCGATTACTCTGTTGAGTAACGACCGCGCGTGTTCTTGCGCGATTGTCCGCCGTGCGAGTGTACGCGATTGCGCTCATCTGTCCGCGTAACGCAATTACTTCGCGTTACTCGAGTGTGCTTTCACTCGCGATAATTGGCAAATGACGGGGCAACGCGTGCGCGTGACAATGCTGAAAACGAGGCGACCGGAACGAGCTGCCGGCGAGCCTTCGCAAATCTGCGCCTCAACTTGTCGAGTATTGAAGCGAATAATGTGAATTATTTTAATGCACGCTCTCGTTGGGCACACGTGGAAACTTGAAGCGTCCCAAGGTTAAATTTTTCTTCGAGTAATTTAGAATAATAATTTTTCGCAACTTATCTCTTCTTCCTAGAAATTTTTAATTACTAATTACTTATAATGCTACATTATGGTCGTGATAATTATTAATAATAGAAGAAATATCAATTAAAAATACAAAGCACAGGCAGGACAAGAACTATACTAGAAAATAAATTAATAAGTTTCGGAATAAATTACCTGTTTTACAAATATATAATTATTTATAAAAAAATATAAAGTTAATGCAAAGATTGTATCGTGAGATAGTTCCTAGTATTTTTTTCCAAGTAAATAGTACATTGTTTCCATCTTTTCTGTGTTTCAATTGGTTTGTTCCTTTTTGCGCCAAATTTTCAACTATTGATCTACGATATATCGATAATATAATATTCAACTGGAATTATCGCAGATCTTAAGAAGACGACGCAGCTTCGACGACATTCTGGAGGACTCTCGATCTTCGGAACGCGGAACCGAGAGAACGAAAAAATCATTGAGAGCATACTCAAACCCTGCAGCCAAAAGGGAACACCGTCTAGGACGTACCCCGGCAAATTGCGACTCATAACAACGCGTGGGCGTATATGCGGCGCATCGATGAGACGCGACGCAGCGCTCGTGTTCTCGGAAGAGATAGCGACTTAGAAAAAAAGAGAGAAAAAGAAGGGGAGAGAGAGAGAGAGAGAGAGAGACCACTTTAGCTCGCGCAAGGCTAGCAGTGATGCGGGACCAGGAGAGGCTGGCACGTTAAAAGCGAAACGGAGAACGGACAAGAAGCAGCGGTCGCAGAGGAAGAAGAAGACGACGACGCAGAGAAGAAGAAGAAGATGAGGAAGGGAGCCTTTCACGTACGAGATTCTCCTGCTCGAGAGAGCCGAGACTCGAAGAAACGGCGCCCCGCTGAGAAGCGCCTGCTGGATGCCAACCTCCGCCCCGCGGCTCTAACGAAGGAATGGGTTCTCCTCTTTTCCTTCCTTCTCCATCTCGTCGCTTCTCCATCCGTCGTCATTTCGGTCCCGTCCTTTTCCGCTCTCGCCTTACTCCGCGAGAGGGACCACGTGAGAGGTCCAGACGGGAGAGTGCCCGTCCGTTGTCGTCTCGTCCTCTCCAGAGGGATCGGCGAAAGTCCCATTTAATGCTTCGGACAGCGGCGCCGCACTTCCGCGATATCGATGCATCGGCGATGAGGCTAGAAAGGGAGAGAAAGAGAGGGAAATCGCGTACAATGATGCGAAGTTGACACGCGAAACCGGAGATAAACATGTTCCGAGCATGCGGGTGAGCTTGTCCAGATCGTCCGATACCGCCGAGAGTGATTCATCGGCAGAGACTCGCGACTACGCTCCTTTTTCTTTTCGTTTCCTTCGCCGACATCTCGGCCCGCCTTCTCCAAATCGTTCTCATATCGCGCATTTGCAGAATCATGGATGAACATTTGCAAGAATGGAAAAGCGACATACTATATAATCGGCAAATGAAAAAAGATTAACAAAATACAAAAAAGTTATTGGCGCACTTACGTAAGAAGGAATATTAGGAAGATAGACTTTTTTTTTATAACAGTCGATCAAATCAATAATCTTTGTCTTTGCGAACAAAATTTTTAATCAATACAAAATATATTTTATCCAATTTTTCATTATTTTGGAAACATGGAAAGACGAATAAAATTATTTCCAGGTCTGTATTTAGCTACTTTTTAAACACTTCAACAAAATCGTTCTTTCTGCATATACA